GGGGGGGGGGGGGGGGGGGGGGGGGGGGGGGGGGGGGGGGGGGGGGCAGTGCGCACTGAGAAGCCAGAGGTATTGAAATGTAGAAGAGGGCGTTAAGACCAGGAAGGAAGCTTTGCGCAGTGGCAGTATTGTAGCCAATGAGGTTTATCCAAGGAGTGATTATTGCTAAAACTTTTCCCAATACCCTGCCGTAACGACTTGCAATACAGTCTGCACTGGCAATTTTTGACAGTCTCTACGGCTACTGATTTTTAAATTAAAAAAAAAAAAAAAAAAAAGACCAGGAAGGAAAGTAGCAGGTGTTTTAGGGGCACATATTCACCCCACACTGGTGCTAAAGGGGAAGGCCTTCTGAGGTCTCAGCCAGGGGTGCTCTGGGATGACTTCAGGGAGGGCCTCTCTCCAAGCTTCCCTTGTATGCTGGGTCCCCCTGGCTAGGTAGCCACAGCTGGGGAAGCGAGGGGACTCAATAAGAGGCTGGATGCAGGATTTGGCGACGTCCTGGGGAAGGGACCTGGTTTGTTCCTTGGGGTGCCAACTGGCATCCCTGCTAATGTTTAGACTTCATAGATTACCACAAAAACTGTCACTGTGGTCCGGGTCCCTACAAAGGACAAATGTTCTTTTTTTAAAAAAGATGGGGTTTCACCATTATGACCAGGCTGGTCTTGAACTCCTGGCCTCGGGTGATCCACCCACCTCGGCCTTCCAAAGTGCTAGGATTACAGGCGTGAGCCACTGCGCCCAGCAAAGGCCAAATGTTCTGTGTCAATGTTTTCATGATTTTTTTCTCCCAGCCCTTTGTGAAGTGGGTGATGTGGGAACTGAGGCTCAGAGAAGTTCAGTCCCTCGCCTGAGGCCTGAGGCCACATAGCTGGCTAGTGGGCAGGGCTAGGATTTGAACCTGCAGCTATAATTAGTTCATTAGGTAGAGGCCACCCTGAGGCCTGACCTTCTGCAGGGGAGCGGCTCTCTGGGTCTGGGTGGGAGTGTGGCTACCCGGGCAGATGAGGCCAGAATCCCTTCTTCTCTCTGATTAACTATGGCCTTCTGTTATGACAGAAACAAGCTTTCACCGATGTAGCCACTGGCTCCCTAGGGCAGGGCCTTGGGGCCGCATGTGGGATGGCCTATACTGGCAAATACTTCGACAAGGCCAGGTAATACACCAACTCTCGCCCACTCCCCACCCGCCTACTACCCACCCCCACCCTTCACTGCTACCCCCCAGGTACTTCCTCTTTCCTGGCTAGGGCAGAGTAATACATACACATGGCCTCTTTTGCTCTTTAAGCACCCGCTATGGCTGGTGCCATGACCTGCCCTTCTCAAATGAGGAGACATTCAGGAGTTAAGGAACCTGCCCCAGGGTCCCTCAGCAGTGACTGGCAGGGCCAGGTTTGCATAAAGTGTATGCTCCCAGTCATATGCTCTTCTGCCAGAGTGCTTAGGCTGAGGACTTCCTGTGTTGCCTCCAGCCCTGTGGCCAGACCTCAGAAGTCTCAGAAAGACCCACCCCCAGGCCCCTGTCTGACTAGGCAACAGGAGCCCAGGCCTGAGCCACTTGCCTTTATCTTGGTAAAGGGGAGGGTTGTGGGTTCTAGAGGGTCCTGGGATACCTGTAGACCACCTCCTATCAGCAGGGAAGAAACAAACATTTGAGATATTGAGCCTTCAGAGAGTGGCCTAACCAGAAAGGTGTGCTGCTCCAGCACCCAGCAGGTGGTTTGCAGGAGCAGCCCCTCAAGGCCCCGAAGGCAGGTTCTAACCATAGGTTTTTCTGCTGTGGTCAGATTTGGCCTGCGGGGATGAGGTTGTAAACTGATAAGATTAATGGCTGTCTGAGGGAAGGATTGCTTGAGGCCAGGAATTTGAGAATAGCCTGGGCCACAGAGCAGGACTCTACAAAAAATACAAAACTTAGCCAGGCATGGTGGTGCACGCCTGTAGTCCCAGCTACATGGGAGGCTCACTTGAGCCCAGGGGTTCAAGATTATAGTAATCCATGATAGAGCCACTGTACCCCAGCCTGGACTACAGAACAAGACTCTGCCTCTAAAAAACAAATAATTTTTTTAAAAAGAATAATCATTGTATTAGTCAGTTTTCACACTGCTGATAAAGGCATACCTGAGTCTGGGAAGAAAAAGAGGTTTAATGGAGTTAAATTCTCCGTGGCTGGGGAGGCCTCATGATCATGGCGGAAGGCAATGAGGAGCAAGTCACATCTTACATGGATGGCAGCAGGCAAAGAGAGAGCTTGTGCAGGGAAATTCCCGTTTTTAAAACCATCAGATCTTGTGAGACTTACTCACCATCACAAGAACAACATGGGAAAGAACCATCCCCATGATTCAGTTATCTCCCACTGGGCTCCTTTCGCAACTCGTGGGAATTATGGGAGCTACAAGATGAGATTTGGGTGGGGACCCAGAGCCAAACCACGTCAGTCACTCATCAGAAGGATTCCTTTGCCCTTTGGGGGGTAGGCCCTGTGCTCAGTGCGCATGTGCTGTATCGGTTTCCACCTTGAAAAGCCCCATGAGTTGGTAGTGGTGTGAGAACCATAACTGGTCTTACAGGTGAGGAAACTAAGGCAAGATGCTGGCCTAGGCCATCCAGTCAGTGATGGAGGTACCCAGCGTCCGTATTCAACATTCCTAGGCTGCTCTGGGAGAGGCTGAGGGCAGCACAGGAACTCGGGGAGCCCTGTGGGTGGGAAGCCTACTGGAGGAGGAAGGCCAGCGGGGCCAGCCTGCAGGGTGGGAGAAGGGCCCAGCTCTGCAGCCGGTGCCATCTCCACTGCCCTGTCGTCCACCCTGCAGTAGAAGCACCATGCCGGGGCTGTTGTGGGGCTGGCAGGCAAGTGGGGTTCAGGATGACTATGAGTCCTTGAAGGACAGGAGTCTGCAGGGAGCACCTTCTGTGTGCAGGCCCTTCTCCAGGACTGGCTCTCCAAGGAAGCCTCACAGTCCCTTCCAGGCCCCCTCTGGCCGGTGTCACTGACGAGGGTTTGCTTACAGTCCCTGGCTGAGCCTTGGGGCAGGCTCAGCTATAGCCAGAAGTGATTCACCATGAGGTAAAGAGGGAGAGAGACACAAAGAATGGGATGCATGTTTGAGAGCACTGTATTTGGCAGAGAACCAGAGATGTGAGTTAATTATTTCCTACAGTTGCTGGAAATAATTCCCTGTGAAGGGACATTTCCTGACCCTTACATAATGGAACAAGTCAGTGTAGGGAGAAGGAGTTTAGCTGGGTTCCCAGAAGCCCAGGTGTCTCTGGGCCAGGGTTGGCTGGAGCCTAGGCCCTCCGACTGTACCTGGGGGAGGAGCCAGGGCATCCCAGGATTATCATGCCAGGCCAGGCACCCAGAGGTAGCGTCTTTATAGAGCAGATTGGCCTCTGCTCACTGTTTCTCCCCGCCCTCCTGTTTAAAAAATACAGAATGATATTAAGAAATGAAGGTTTTCTGTATTCTTAACACACTGCCTGCCACCTCCGACTTAAATCTGATGTATTTTGTCCATGTTATCAAGGAAAAAGCTTACAAATTTGTAATCCCAGTGTATGTGTGTGTGTGTGTGTGTGTATGTGTGTGTATATATATATATATATATATATATAACCAAATATTACACTTTAAACCAAAAGCCTTCTATTATGAGCATTTTCTCATGACATTAACTGTGGAGAGCTGATTTTTTTTCTTCTTCTTCTTTTCTTTTTGAGATGCAGTCTTGCTCTGTTGCCCAGGCTGGAGTACAGTGGTGCAATCTCGGCTCACTGCAACCTCTACCTCCTGGGTTCAAGCAATTCTCCTGCCTCAGCCTCCAGAGTAGCTGGGATTACAGGCATGCACCACCACACCTGGCTAATTTTTATATGTTTAGTAGAGATGGGGTTTCACCATGATGGCCAGGCTGGTCTCAAATTCCTGAGGTCAGCTGATCCACCTGCTTCAGCCTCCCACAGTGTTGGGATTACAGGCGTGAGCCACCTCACCCAGACTGAGAGCTGGTTTAATGATCATGTAAAGTTCTGTTTTATGGAGATGCTATAATCTATCTAGCCAGCTCTGTTGTTGGACATGGAAGGTAGTTTCCAAATCCTTCTGCAACAAATGTTGACCTACTGTTTAGGTTTCCCTCTCTTTATGTTAGTTCATATCTGGATGTTTGCAGCCCTCTACCCCTAACTCTAACAGCTCAGGCGATACCAAGCCTCAAGATTAGCCTAGGCTCCTGTAGGCCCCCTTTCCTGTCCACAACCCCTTCCTTGGATTCTCCTCGGGACCTTAGAGCCTCCTCTGACCTGAGCCTGTTGGCCCTGTAGGGCTTAGCCTTGTGCCTAGTCTTAAAGCCCAAAGCTGTGCTGGGCCTCCCGTGCTAACCTCAGTTTGGCTTCCCTGGAAGTGGGTGTGGGCTTGGGGTGGCAGCCAGTTGGCTCCCCTGGAATCCCTTTCTGGGAAGTTGAGTTCCCTACAGGCCTCTCTGGTTCAGCCCCATCATGTGGCCCCTTTCTGGAGCTGCTGTGCCAGACTGGAGCCCCTCCAGGGTCTTGGCCCCCTCAAAACCCATAGGGGAAAGAGGAGGCGAGGCTGGGACAGAATAGGGCCTCTGAAGTGTGGGCCTGAGGCTTTGTCCTTTTGGCCATGGAACCAGAGGCCTGGCCTGGCCTGGCCTGGTGGAGGCCACAGAAGAGTAGCTTGAGGCAGGGGAGGCTGCAGGGAGCGCTCCCAACCTGCTGGCATGTGGAAGTGCTGAGTCATGCTGACCGCTTCTGGGACTGGCTGGCCCAACCTCTTCCTACTGGCCCTGCCTTGGCCCTGCAGCAGGGAGGCCTGGAGGCTTGAACTGCTGAGCCTGCAGCCGGGTTGAGGGCCTTTTCCTGCAGGAGCAGGAGGGCAGCTGTGTCCCCTCTGAGCCCAACCAGACACCAGCCTCATTTCCTGGGGCCACACAGCTAGACACTGGGCAGGGTAAGGGGAGGTGCCCAGGTCCCACCATTCCTCACCCTATGTGCAGGCCTGCACTGAAAGGAGCGGACAGTCTGGCTGCAGTCAGGCCTGCATTTGCATCCTGGCTCAGCAACTTCCTGACAGCGTGACCTTCAGACAAGTCCTGTGTCAGTTGATGTCATCCCTCTGCCACCCCCATCCCCTCACGTCTCCCAGGCTGGGCTCAGAGTCCCTGAACTGGTCTCCCTTATTCTAGCCTCACCCCCTCGTCCACCCCTCCCCTGGGGCGAGGGAATG